ATTCCTACGCTGACATCAACAACAAGCAAGTATTACATAGCTTGACGCATTACTTGATTCATTATCTGTGTTGTTCTCCTCAAGTTAAAATCTTAATACACTTTATGATGGGTTCATTTGTGGGGCTTTAGGTTAGATAATTTTCAACTGGGGACTGACACCTTCACATAAACATGCTTACATTTAAAGGAGCATTTACTCCGTCTTATCTAGTGGTGGAGGGGGTAATACTATATTTTCCGGCTTACAAGACGCTTTTTTTTTCTAAAAAATACCCTGAAAAATACGTCTTTCATGACGAATGTAAGGCAACGCCCATGCACAAGTAAGCTTGGACTGTCAGCTAATTGGCTTGACAGATAGGGACGTGGATTGTATGCTGGTTTATTACACTATAATGTTAGCTATCTATCTAATTCACCCTTTATACGATGTAACTCAGTACTTAGCTGTTACAAGTATTTCCAAGATTATAAGCCTTCCTAGAGCCGAGTCACATGCTTATACATGCTCTGTTTACTAGCAGCGGCGAGAGCCTTTCTGCTCTTGACTAGTATGTCATTATCATACGAAGAAAATCGGATGAATCGTTAATGTAAACGTGGCACCAATATGTGAGTGACGCATGGTGAATGTGTTATTGTATGGGAATTTTTTTTTTTTCTCAGAAATTTCTTTTCAATATTAGTGTGCGTTTTCCAAGCCGTAGCGTCTTGTAAGCCGGGAAATACGATAATTTGCAAGTTAGAATAAAAATCTGCAATTTGAATTGTAAAATCTCATTAAAAATATTAACCATTTGAATGATTAAGAAATGCTTTATTTCTCTCCAAGACGATATCGAAATTATTAAACACGACACCCAACTGATGTGACATTCGGGTAGCGTAGTGGTTATCAGCACATAATGTCGGGTAGAGGTCAAATTCAGATTCAAATATACACTTGGAAATGTTAATAACTCGAATCATATTCTTAAATAAACTCATTACATCACGACATTCAAGTGTGTCAAGCATGACTGTAAACTGGTTTAGAAATACTTAAACTGTCAGATGTATGCATCTTCTATAAAGTCAATAGTTAAAACTGGTTTCAAGCGAATGAAGTTTGTAAATAAGCGGTTCTCAACCTGGGTCCATATGCAGCCTGGGGGTCCGTATAATATTACTGGAGTCCACACAAAAATAGCAAATTAGGTGGTATTATTTTAGTGGTCCATAGAGCAATTTCACTTCGGAACGGCTATTACAACCGTGAATTAGAATTCCTGTAGCAATCTACGTCATATTAAAATACTAAAAATAGAAAACAACACTAAAATTGGCAGAAAACGAAATCAAGCGATGTAAGTTAGCGTCCCTTTTACTCTATCGGATGATTTGATTACAAAAAATGAATAAAAATAAGAAGGATATATAAATCAAGGATTATATATTTGTTTACATTTGGTTACGTCATGAGCAGATATGAATGTACATGAAAGAATCATAGAATATTGTAGTTTAAAGACAGTAAAATCGATCTTGCTAACCGAACGCTCCTCTATGACCCAATCGGTTAAAGGTACGTCAGGCTATATGACCATTCCGTATAGGATACAGGTTCGATTCCTGTCGGAGGTCGCATATTTTCTATGAAAATTTCTCGGACATTCAGGCCGGTAAATGTTGCTTATTATGAAACAGAGCATTTACTTAAATATTTGTATCTATAAAAAGAATGTATAAACATAAAAAAATGTCTTGATATATATGAAGGAAAATTATATAAAGATTATAATTTATTATATAAATTAATTTAATATATAAATAATAATATTAATTTTAAATACTAATAATATAAATTATTAATATATTAATATAGTAATAGACACGACATAGTGAAAAGAGGTGATCGTTGTCTATCATTGACATCGATGGAGGCGAATATAAAAAAAATCGCAGAGCAGCATCAACCATAGGGATCTCATTGAATAGTTGTTCACATTTTAAAATTTAATAATAACTCACATATTTTAAAATGGATTATGTTATGTGTTATTTTACTAATGTACGTAAATGTTCCATAGAATTTAGTTGCTAAAAACATGTTTATTTTTATTAAATTAGTTTTACTTTAAAATAAAGAATATGTGTTTACTATACGATTTCTAAACTTATCTATTAGTAAAAAACAAAATATCCTTTTTTATTCATAGTAAGGTTATGGAGCTTCACAAAAAAATTAAGATTAAAAGTTGTGCATGAGTAAAAAAAAGTTGTAAACCACTGCTGTAGATCTTAACTAAAATCATCTTTCTTCGAACTACGTGAACGGGCGCTATACTATCGAGAACAAATAACAGGAATATCACTTGATGACTATCAACAGTAGCAACAACTAAAACGGATATCATATGTAACTAGGAGAGAAAACAATGACCTAATGAAGATGTTGTTTTCCACACAATTTCAAACAAAAGGTTAGGAGGGCAACCGTCATCAGTAGTTGAAAGAGCACTAAGAGTTAATGGAGTTGAGAAATCTATCTGTATTTTTTTAATAGGACGATTTTATAAATTTCAAACGAAAGGTGCATTGGCCACTTAATAAAAAATGTTTCCTTAAAAGGAAACATCTAATAAGAACCTTATGATTTCTCACCAAAGTAATAGCAAGACGGACTGAGTTCTTTAGCTGTGGTTGGTAGCCAGTCTAAGAGAAATAAATCTCTGAATTCAACATCGGTTAGGCATGAGGCTAGCAACTCGCCTCCGTATATAGAACAACTGGTTCCGAAAATTGCAGCGGCAACAACTAAAGTTGTGGCTCTATAATCTACAGGGCAATTTATTGGGTTAGCATGCAACCATATAATATAATATAATATCATAAATTAACCTTATATTATTAAAGTTTGGTTTGGCTATTTTGATTTACGGCATATCAGACTCAATGTGTTATTTATTGCCGACAAGATTTTTAGGATTGGTTGGAATAAACAGAATATGCATCTGCAAGAAATCAGTTTCTAGATCAGGTTTCATTGAGGTGTTTTTGTCGAGAGTCAAATGTATTGCTGGTAATATTTTTTTCAAAACTCTGTTGCTTATATTTTTTACTATAAAAATCTATTTTATAGTTTCATATATATATATATATATATATATATATATATATATATATATATATATATATTCTCTGACGCCAATTCAGCCGGGTTTCAATCCTAGCTATGTCTAGCCACACTGATGAGCTATGATACAGTGTCTGTGAATATATATATATATATATATATATATATATATATATATATATATATATATATATATATATATTTTTATTTTTGTTTAAAATTTGATTCCAAAAAACAAACAAACCAAAAAAATATTATTATAATAAAGCTCTACTTCTGTATGGAGCACTGTTTTCTTAAAAATAAAAAAAAAAAATACTAAGGAACTCCGGATTATGCACCCAACGTGTTCTTTTTCTATTTTCTGCATACCTACCTGCATATATATATATATATATATATATATATATATATATATATATATATATTATGAAATGGACAAAGTCCGACAATTAAAAGAATGTATAAACATAAAATGTCTTAATATATATATATATATATATATATATATATATATATATATATTGAATAGTGTGATTGAATTTTCCCCTTTCTTTCTTTCAAAAGATTGTACGTTATTAAATTAAAAAGATAAGAACATTTATTATTTTCTTAGAATCTTTATGAATAATTAGATTAGTTACAACTACTGTTACATTTTTGTTTTGTGGTGATACAAAAAAAATTCCTGAGAGGAGAGAAGAATACGAAAACAAAAGACAAAAAGAAAGTTTGTAGCAGAAAAAAAGAAAGAAAATAACATAAAATGTGGCAAGAAAAAAAAATACAAGATCAAAAACAGTTCGAAAAAAAAAATTAAATAAATTACTAAAAACTATCGTAATACTGTATTCTTATCAGGTTAACAAAATAATTCCAAGATCTTAGATTTCAATTTGAAAATAAAAGCAAAAATAAATTAATATTTATTAGTCTTAAAAGCCAATTTCAGCAAGCATATAATTTCTATCCATTAAATTATTCATGTTCCAGACAAACGAAAGTCTAAATAGAAAACTGAAGCAGAACAACAGTTTTTAGAATTGTACCAGTTAACAAATTATGGCAAAATTGATTGATTGGTACATTTTCTACTGTTTATCAACCTATTAGCTTATTTAAAGCTAGAAACCATTTTAGATTGTTAGATTTTAAAGATAATAATGATTTAGTAATACAAGTCTTAAAATTAACCCATATCTGGGGGAGAAGAGATGGTTTCAAATCTTTCCGAAGAATATTTGCGAGCAAGGAAATATAACGAACGCAACTGGCATTGGAATTCGGCTCTTCGATTAACCATTAAACTAACCGCACATTCAATCTTAAAGCACCTGGTATTCCCAAGTGGTCACCCATGTAGGGACTGACTATGCTCGATGTAACTTAACTTCGGTGATTGTAGAAGAACCGATGTTTCAACGGGATATGGCTATAAATCTCAAGTTGAGGTAAGAGGGACAGAAGTAAACAAATAATAAGCTACCAATGGGCTTGAGCAAATGGACGAGAGTATAAGGATTGGAAGTAGTCATAGCTACAAATTTTAAGACGTTGTGGAGAGCCATGATCGACTACATGCTGAAGTGACATGTCATTGAAATTGAAGTCAAAGAAGAAGACGAAGAAGAAGATGTAGTTGTAGTATTAGTAGTCGAAGAAGAAGAAAAATCAAAAGACGAAGAAAAAGTAGTCAAAGAAGAAGTAGTCGAAGAAGAAGTATTAGTTGTAATAGTCGAAGAAGAAGAAGAAGAAGTAGTCAAAGAAAAAGAAAAAGCCGAAGAAGAGGAAGTAGTCGAAGAAGTAGCAGTTGTAATAGTCGAAGAACTAGTCGAAGAAGAAGAAAAAGCGGAAGAATAGGAAGTAGTCGAAGAAGAAAAAACCGAAGAAGTAGTCGAAGTAGACAAAGTAGCAGAAGTAGTAATAGTAATAGTAGTAGTAGTGGTAGTAGTAGTAGTAGAAGAAGAAGAAGGAGAAGAAGAAGAAGAAGAAAATTGAAGAAGAAGAAGAAGAAAATTGAAGAAGAAGAAGAAGAAAATTGGAGAAGAAGAAGAAGAAGAAGAAGAAGAAGAAAATTGAAGAAGAAGAAAATTGAAGAAGAAGAAAATTGAAGAAGAAGAAGAAAAGTGGAGAAGAAAAAGAAGAAGAAGAAGAAGAAGAAGAAAATTGAAGAAGAAGAAGAAGAAGAAAAGTGGAGAAGAAGAAGAAGAAGAAGAAGAAGAAGAAGAAGAAGAAAGATTGAATTTGCAAATTATGGATGAAAAATGTATCTATTGCATATTTGAAATACACAAAGGGAGATAGGTAAGTTCTTACGATTAGAATCTCATTGCAAGCCATTTCTCTTAAATGTCAGACATATATGTTACTTTTGAAAGACTCAAAGAAAAACTTATTTCCATTCAAATTCATGAAAGAAGAGTAGAAGTTGATATATATTTTAAGGACGACTTGTTCTTTTGTAGTAGAAACAAGAAACATAAATTTTTATATATACGCACGTGGTATCAAAATGTCAAAAGTTTTGGTTTATGTTACAAAATACCTTTTGTTATATCTTTTCTTATTTCGATTCAAATGTTGGCACCGCTTTTATGAAACCCTTTACAATTCCAAGTTTACACGTCTTAGAAATTGTTTCAAAGTAAATATCTATATACAATATTGAAACAAGAAAAAAAAATAAAGCATTAAAAATAATAACAAGCCAAGAATTCCAGGATTGTGTCGGGTGGGAGTGAAAACATAGTGTTCCATATACAATGAAAGAGCTAAGTTATATATTAAAATAATTATATTGTTGATCCTTATAGATTCATGAACGTTTTATAAACATGGCTGTCATCAACGATAAACTTTATGTTTGAAGATCACTACGCGCAGGAAATTTGGGGCATAATCGTTCATTAAGTATCAACAAAATAAATAATTTATATATATATATATATATATATATATATATATATATATATATATATATATATATATATATATATAATATTAAAGTTAACACTCAGAGGTGACTGATTGTTTCATACTAAACAGTCATGAAAAGTCTGTCGCCTCTGAGTGTTAACTTCAATGTTCACTTTGATATTTACATACGCTCTATCTCTGACTTTGAGCATTTTATCCCATAAATATAGCATTAAAACTATATCTTCATAAATACATATATATATATATATATATATATATATATATATATATATATATATATGTGTGTGTGTGTGTGTGTGTGTGAACAAAAGACTTGTACCCACAGAAATAGAAAATAGACGTCATTATTAAACCTGTAGGACACATTCACCCAACGCTTTTTTCAAAAGGTAATCGTTAGCAAAACACAAACACAATCAAGACACATTAATAATAACTAATAACGGATGAAATTTGGAACGCGATTAAAATTAAATTGTAATTATGAATAAATCAACGTATAAAAAGTAACTGGGAAGTTCCTATATATATATATATATATATATATATATATAATATAATTGGATTTCTCTGTATCCTTGGAAACAATAAATTATGAATCGTATGTGCGTTTAAAACTCAGTAAATTTGAAAATAAGTTATTCTATAATTCGCTTGACGATGAAATTGAACTAATGCTTTTTGTTTAATTATATGAATAAATTTGAAGTTTTTAGCTTCGGTTTTTAAAACATGGTATTCCCTATGTAGCGAAGAAAGCATATATTAAATTAGTTAGTTTATAATATTTATGCTCTGTAAATTTACACTGAGCACAGTTTTCTAAAAATAAAAATATCAATAAGAACACCGGATTATATATCTTACTGTTCTTTCTTTTTTTATTACACTATATATATATATATATATATATATATATATATATATATATATATATATATATATATATATATATATATAGTGCAGCAGATCATTATTTAAACCTATATTGTTAAATATATTAGATAATGAATGTTTATTATGTTTGATCATGAGTCGTTCTAAACTTCGTCTGGTTGCTTTAATTTCGGTTGAAAATAAAGACAAAAATTATCCATTTGGATATTTTTATTAAGCCCTCCTTTGGTCTAAGCTTTCGACTGACATGAGCCAACTTCAGAATGGTTATACGGACATTTAAACACCTGATATTAAAATGATCAAGCATAATAGACATATATATATATATATATATATATATATATATATATATATATATCGCACATTGAGTGATTGAATGTTGGTACTAATATAAATATGTATAATAACAGCTATATTTAAAATTAATAATAAATATACAATTGTTCCTCAATGGGAGCACATTTCTGACTTTCATGCAAGATGCGATAGTCAGGCTGATTGAAAACTCGCCGTTGCAAAATTTAAATATTGATAATTACCATATTTTCTCAATTTCTGGTACGGTTCCACCATCTTTTTTTGCCAGTAATATTTAGAGAGAGCAGAATTATGTTTTTATTTATTGTTACTTAGTTTTTGGTTGTAAAACTTATGCTTTTTCTCAGTTTCAGTTGAAACAGTTAAAACAATGTAAAATCATTGTTCTTTATCAGAGTCTATGTTAGCCCTATAAACAATATTATTGGCCAATCATTGACCTTTTAAGGGACAGGCCATATAATTTAGGCGAATACAATTTTTTGTTTTTCTTAATCTTCCTTCGTTATATTTTTTCCTTTTGCAAGTTATATAATTATTCAATAATATATTGTTACGATGAAATATAGATTTGTCTTTATTCCTGGTACAGCTCTAACTGATGTTTATGCTATTTTTCTTAAAAATCCTCTATGTTTTAAAATGTTTATTTATGAGTTTGAGAAAGATTCTACCAATATTAGTTTATACGTTGTGGCTAAAACTAGGAGAGTTAAATCTTAAAACTTTGAATGTGATTTTTTGCATTTTTGCTTTCTACTTTTTATGCATTGTAAATAATTTTTGCTTATTCTCTTCAAGAGTTTTTATATATTTAACTTTAGCTTCAGCAAATATTTCCTTATTGCTGAAGTTGTTAAGCTATATTTACAAATTTAATTAAAAGTTATGATATGATTCAGTTTTCCTATGCTTCTGTAAATCTTTTTTTATACGGCTTATATCTCCCGGTATTCAAAACCAAGTTCACGTCAAGAACATAGATACATTTCTATTTGTCGTAGTAAAGACTTTTAGGTCATGATCTTTTGCCTGTTCTTTTTTTGATCTGTCTATACTTCTTAGATTTTATTACATAGTAGGATTACACCGTTATCTCCATGTAGTCCTATACTATTTATTTATATATCCTATACTATATGTAACAAATATCTTAATTGCCATATTAGGAATATCCCTACTATATCTAATTATGCTAGTTATATGTTTGTATGTGGATGTGTATATATATATATATATATATATATATATATATATATATATATATGTGTGTGTGTGTGTGTGTGTGTGTGTGCGTCTGTGTGTGTGCGTCTGTGTGTGTGTTTGTGCGTATTTAAGAAATGGATTAAATCCGACATATTACTATATTTTAATTTATTTTCTTTAAACGTTATTTTTGATGGATACTCATATTCAACTAGAAGTTCTATTTTTTGATTAAGCGGTATTTTTTTTAATCCAAATACATCTACCGGCCCTGAATATTCGAGAAACCCGGGGAACTATGGGGAACCGTCATTAAATCAGCCGTGTCTAACCACTAATCATAGCCGGGATAATGCGTTTTGTCTGCCGATTCTCGAAATATCCATATCTGCGGAGTATCGTATCCAGTTATTTTAATTTATTTTGCTTTACACACACACACACACACACACACACACACACACACACACACACACACACACACACACACACACATATATATATATATATATATATATATATATATATATATATATATATATATATATATTAATCATCTCCCTCTAATCAAGGCGATAATTCTACTAAGACGCAACATTCAGCTATTTCTTAATAATTAACATTTTGGTCTTTTGTGATTTTTATAAATAAGAGCTTGATGTATATTCACGAGCGTTGTTTAACTTTTAAAAAATTGTGTAACTGGCAAATAGTTAGGTGTTGCAAAAAAAATTATTATATTTGGCTTGATAATTTCCGTCAGATCACGAAACGCGCTGTATACGACTAAGTATAGTTTTCCATTTGTCGCTTTTATATATATATATATATATATATATATATATATATATATATATATATATATATATATATATATATAAGAAATGGACAAGGTCCGACAATTTATTTATTAAAAGATTATATTTTATGTTTAAAGTTTTTTATAGATACAAGTATTTATTTGCTTAAATACTTGTATCTATAAAATAACAACGTTAAATATAAAATATATATATATATATATATATAATGAGACTATAAGGAAACAATTTTAATCATACAAATTTGATTAAAGAACATTAAAATTTGTTTGTTATGGATTTTTTTAAATTACTTTTTTTTTTATATTTTCGGATCATTGTTTTGTTTTCCGGTACATACTGAGATATTCATTAACCGCCCCATGCGGTACAACGTCAAGATTATTGCGGGGTGTTTGAGCCCGTAGGCTCGGCCAAAAATTCCCCGTAAAAAACGAGGTCGGGTAACTGTCTCCCGAGTCGAAACTCCCTTCGTCACAGACTAGTCTGAGGATCCACTCTGCCCAGACTTTGAACAGCACACTTCCGAAATAATCCGGAGAGTGATCCGGTTCATAATGACATTTTATAGAAAGTTACTAGTGTTTGAGTGTTAATAGCTATTGTTAGTTTTTATCAAAGATTTTGCTTTGTTTTTTTTTGTTTTTTCTAATACCTTAGATTCTTTATTTTCCGATATCACGTTCCAACGTGTCGCCGTGACTGCCCATGTCGTTGGAGTTCAAAATTATTACTAAAATATGTTTATAATGCTTGCTCTTAAATTTGATATCACATCCAACATAAATAAAGTCATTACTTACACAATATTGACTTTGCTTATAGATATAACAATAAGACATATCTTAAGCGCCAATATGACGGTGGAAACTATATACCATTTACCGAGGAATTTTTTTTATCCAGGTTTTATATTCCTCGTTTGCTGATGAACTGAAATTATTTTGAGTACGTAATTACCATAGTATATGAAGTATACCCCACTAACATAAAACATTAAATTAAAATACTGTACCAATATTTCCTGCAGTTAAAAGAAGCAAAACAAATTCGAGTGTATTTTAAACTCTGTGACCCTCTAAAAG